CATACACAATGACATTTAGGAATATGTTGTTCAGAGTGAATTTAGCCATGAATTTTATTGATAAAAGTTTGTCCGAATAATAAAGAACAATGATTTCCCAAGGTTTAGGTGAAAACTTACTAAACTTTCAAAATAATTCTATTAATATTCGACACGCTAACAATACCTTAAAAAATAACACAGCCCGTGCATTGCACGGGCGTAAGACTAGTGTCAATAGAAATCACAAAACAATTCAATTATTGATCAATTACTTGAAAAGACATTAAACTTCTAATAATCATTTAAAACCAAATAAACATTTAATGTAAAAATATAGAATTTAATATCATAACTTTATAATATAGTTCAATGTCATCCTAGTATCTATTCAAGTAATCGAGCATCATATGATTATAATACTGAATTCAAAGTACATGACCTGAAATTAAAGATTAGAAAAAGATGAAAAGTGCTCTTGAATTCTTGAACCTCTTCAATGGTCCTTGATTATTATTACTGATATCTCCTTCTTCTTCATACTCCAAGTAATTGTATTATATTGATGCATGGACTTAATTTTTTGTATTAAAAGCTTCTTCAAAGCTTGTAAAGAATATGTATTTTCTTCTCCTAAGCTTCCCCCCGAAGCTCTCCTCTTTGTAAGAAATATATATTTTCTACCTAAAAGCCACATCTCCTTGAATGAATAACCATTGGTTGTATTTGTAGCCCAAGAATTAGGTAAAAAATCATGCCCTAATCACTTTCAAAGTAGAGGTTGAATCAAAATAGAAAATAAAATCGAACTGTTCGGATAAGCTCATGTGACCGCACATGGTAATTTGTTCCAATTACACATTATAAGTTTTTTGCTTACTGGTGATAATTTAAGGCTTGCGATCGCTTCAAGTAACCATTGCGATCGTAATGTACCACTTTCTATCCCCTATTGAACTTGGTCTTTGGATTTCTTCTTTTATTAAGCCCAAGCCCTTAATATTTGTATCATGGGTCCTTCTTCTTTAAATATTTACACTTGGCTCTCATACTTCACAATCGTTTGTAAATAATTTTTAAAGTTTGCAATTAAGACCCCAAACTTTTTAATTGTAGAATTTAACTCTCAAGACTGATGAATTTCTTAAAACTTCTCTCTTATTGCTTCACGTGCAACCTAGATAAATTTCAAGGGTTTCGAATTAACTCCAATTAGCATTAAAAATGTCTTTCTTCAAGTTAAATGCGTTCAAGTCGGGAATTTTCCTATAATTAACATAGGTATACTAAATTAGGTTGATATCCACTAAGTTAATCATAATTAATAATTTTAGAAAACTACCTATGGTGTCATTTCGTTTTATGTTATTTACCTTATTGACATATAGATGGCCGTTCAAAGCATTAATTAGTATTCTTTTCCATTTTACCCTTTTTCGCGGAAAACGGCCTGGCACCTGGAAAGGTGTTGGGGGTAGTAATGGAAAAATCTAATTTTATTTCGGTAACATGGGACGGATTTTTATATTGAATAGCCTCCGTGTCGAGTTTCCATTTTAGCTAAATGGAGTGCCATCATTCATTTTTTAAATAAACAGAACAAGTTATAAAAAGTCACCTAACCTATTAAACAATATTCATGATATTATAAAATACACTATATGCCTTCGTGAAAAACATGTTCCAAGGTTATTGTATTTATTTGTTCGTGTGCAAGAAAGGAAAGGAAATTTCATGGTTATTGCCACTCTCTCTCTCTCTCTCTCTCTCTCTCTCTCTCTCTCTCTCTATGTCTTATATATAGGTTCGATGAAGAAGCCCCCACCATAATGCCATTTTACTTCCCTTGTAAAACAATTTGCGGCAATAGAGCAATATTTCCAAGAAAATATATTCTATATATAAGATGATTCAAATGAAGTTACAGCCAAGGTCGGGTTTATTACTGAAATGCATAATTCTGATTGCACGCTTGCTGCAGTTGGTATGGGATTACCTTCTTCTCCTATCCTTCTCTCAGCCTCAAGAAATTGAATCACCAGACTATGCTGATGAACTTACAGTAACTCGTTATGAAAATTATAAGAATACAGAGTTTGAGGATTCATCAGTCGAGTGTGCTGTTTGTTTATGCAGCATTGACGAAGGGGCTGAGGTTAGAGAGTTGAGATGCTACCATCTTTATCACAGAGTTTGCTTAGATAAATGGGTACGACATGGGCACACGACTTGTCCACTCTGCCGGAATAGCCTAAAGCCACCTCAACTGGCGGTTGACCTCCACCAAGCAGAGGAGGACGCGATGCTAGTTAACTTCTACGCCCCAAGATCAAGGGATGATTGTTGTACGTCGAGGCTGCAGTGAGTCTTAGTACTCGACAGGACAGCTACTTGCAGTTAGAGCATTTTGAGCCCCAATTTATTGTAAGAATGCATTTTGAAATGGTTGATTGATTGCGAATGTATGATTAAAAATTAAGGAAATGTTTTTAATTTGCGTGTAATATTATTTTATTAAAAATGTGTCTTTGAAAAAGAGGGAAAAAATGTATTTTGATAATAATTGTGATCAAACAAGCCCTTAATGTTGCTTGTCATGTTAATGATGAAATATTATGTTGACATATTTAATTTGATGGAATGAAAGAAAGAAGGAAAAAATAAAAATGTGTCGCCAATCCAGGGTTGATTCCGTCGAAAATAATAATAGAAATATTCCTCTCATTGGTATTTTTGCTCTTCTGATTTATACTTATTTACTGAATAGCTGGTGTTTTATTAATAATGGAAGTGAAATAAAATAAAGACTTAGGTGAGTTCAACATCACCTTTGATTAAAGTTGCAATAAACTTAACTTGCCTCATCTGAAGATACGAAGTAAAATTAAAAGTTAAAGAAGTACACATCTTGCACCCTATTCATTCTCATTGTCATCATATGCCAAGCAAATTGTACATTAGACTCTCGATCACTTTCAGACTTGCTTCTTGAATGAGATGGCATAAATTTACGATTGCATTCCAACTTGGGAAATTTAAAGCTTCATCATAGTCTCTATTATTGAGTCCAAAAGCATTCTCAGTACATTACTCTGTGCTCGAATTATCCACTCCCATTTTGCACTTATCATTATTATTTAAATGCTGGAATGCGTTGCACTCTCTCTAAGATCAAGGTAAGAAATAACCTATTACGGTAATGCCATAAAACCCACCCTCCATACGTTGTTCAAATGCACTGCAATTAAGTTAATTTTTACTTGCCCTAAAATTAAATTAAGTTTTAGGTGCAACCCGCAATAAAACATATAAAAGTGCAATTTTTAGTCAAAGTTTCCAAATAATTATGTCAACTTTCGTCAAAGTTTTTGAATTTGTTAAAATATAAAACAAATTAGGATCCAAAAACGTCTCCAAGAAATTTCAATGAGTTCTATTTTTCGAAAGGAAAACACTCAGGAGTTGTTCTCTTCGTGTTTGAGTTTTTAGTTTTCAGTTTTTAATTCATTTTGAATTTTGAGTGTCTATTGAAAATGTGTTCTTTTTGTCATTTTGAAAAATTGTTTTCGAAAATAAAAAAAATGAAAATGTGTTCTCTCTTTCTCTCTCTCTCTCTCTCTTCATTTCATCACTGTCGTCTTTCTCTCCGACGCTCCTAGAGACCTACGCTTCCGACGATCTCCCTGTGAGCGATGCTCCCTGCTACGTTGTTGTTCTCTGTGCTTCTTTCTCTTTTTTTTTTTTATTCGGTGGTTGGTTTGGGTGCGGTGGTTGGGTACGTGGTGTGCTGTGGTGGTGTGCGATTTGCAGGTGGTGGCGATCTTTTTTTATGTTTGATTGTGGCGGTGGTGGTTCTGCGATGATTTGACGATTTTTGTGGTGGTGGTGTGCGGGTGTGGCGGTTGTGTTAGTGGTGTGGTGCAGGCGGTGACGGTGGTGGTTGGGGTGGCAACAACGACGATGGTTTTTGTGGTGGCATATGGTGTAGGTGGCGATGGTGATTGTGGCAATGTGGTGCAAGCGACGGTGATGATGGTTTACGTGACGTTAAACTGAAAACACCCAAAATTCGTTTTGAAAATTTTGGCTTGATTTTAACTGAAAGCACCCAAAACGACATTTATCGTTTTCAGCTTTCTTTATAAATTTTAAACTCGTTTTCGAAAATTCATTTTTGAAAATAGGTAAGTAAACGTATTTCTGCTATTCTGAAAAATCGAAAACAAAAAAGAGATTAAAAAGGTCAAAGAGAACAGCCCTTAAGGATCCATTTAGTTTTATGATTCAGTTTTCAATTTTGAGTTTATTTTGAGTTTATTTTTTTTTAGAATCTGCATTAAGATTGCTAAAAACCTGTTTGATTTGAAAAATTATTTTTTAAAACAAAAAAATAATAAAACACGATTGTTTGAAATTTTGTTTTATAATATTTTATTCCATAAAATTTGAATATTCAATAAAATAGAACAATTTTATATTAATATACTATCTATTAATATATACATTTTAAAGTTGGTTAACCTTACAATATATTTTTTCATCACAAAAGTAAAATAAATAATAAATAATAAATTAATTTGACAAAATATAGGAACTAAAAATAAAAATGATGTGCACTAAAATTATTTTTATTTGTGTTCATTAATATATTTTTTAGAGTTTTTATGTAAATAATCACTATATGGAAGAATTTAACATCGATGCTCATTAAAAACTCTATATATAAAAGAATGCCATTGAGAAAAGACTTCATATCTATTTCCAATGAATAATTTAACTTTCTCATAATATAAATAAAACCTAAATAAATAAAACAAACAAAAAGAGCGACAAAGACTTGTACACAATAACAAACTCGTGATCATACACGAAAACCCTCAATATACTCACAGCCACTCCACCATTTGGCATGAAACTGTTTACAGAAAAAAAAAATAATAAATAAAAATGATTTTGTTCGATTCCATCATTCAACGAGTTCACTCGTAGAAAAGATACACACCTAGTAAAATGAAAATGTTGTTCATCTCTTTAAAACCATTTGAATAGCAGTTTGCTGTGCCTTCGTCAAACTCTGCATTTAAATCAATGGAAACTTGATTAAGCTAGTAGCCCCAAAATATTAAAAATAAATAAATAAATTAAAAAAAAAATAAATAATAATAATAATAATAATAATAATAAAGGTGAAATATTTATAATGTCACGCGTAATTCGAGAAATTCAAAGGAACCTGGAAAAGATGATCAAAAAATGGCTTGTCACTCTGGGAGAATTTCGCAAAAAATTCTACAAGATAATTAGCCAGATTGATCTGCAATACAAAAAGTTCAATGAACAGAAAATATAGAAAAGAATTTGTAAAGGATACCCTATAATGTCTCTCGAATAAGTGTACCTCGTTAAGTGGATCAGCACCACTAAAAAGCTCATCTTCGTACTCTTCATCTTCATCCTTGATTTCAAAATCAATATAATCAAATTCCATTAAACATACAAAAAAAATAAATGCATGGCCAAGCTTAAAAGTTACTTTTTAGCAAATTTTATTTCTGATCACTTGCTGTTTTCCTTACTTTTAATCCAACTTTGACAATTAAAATATTATTGAACTTGCTTATTTCTTTATACATAAGCTTTTCAAGCTTAGCCAAACATACTCTAAGAATAATGATAAAAGGTCCTGTCCCAGAAGAGATACATTAATGAAAGTTCGGTGAATTGTCAAACCTCATTGAAAGCCTTTGCCATGGCATCAAGATATTCATATGTAGGTCTGCCATGTAATTTAGCACTAGCTGAATATAATAAATCTTGGTCTGTTTCAGCATCCTCAGTTTCGACTTCCTCCCAATCAGTATCCTGCCACAGTGAAGTGTCAAAAGCTCATAACTCCGACACCAAATTGCTGTCTTTATAGTACAAGTGCCAAAGGGACTATAACTACCTCATCTTCACCAGCTAAGACTTGTTCTTGAATTTCAATTAATGTGTCCGCTAATATGGCCATTATCTATATTGTCAGAGAAAATAATAAGAATCAGCAGATATCAAAATGTTATTGAATATATAGACGCAAATATTTTTTTTTTAAAAAACCTTTCCTTCACTTCCTTTGTCATTTTCTTCGGAAAAAACAAGGAGACAGAAAACCTCAACAGCAGCATGATCATATTATATAATAATAAGAATAGGAAACAATATGATGTCGACATTTTGAACATCGTTGGGTGGAACCAATTTAACCAGAAAGCACCCCTTGGAATATAAGAATCAGATAGATATACCTTTGTAGGAAGTGGCACCAATGTCCACTGATCTGGAACTTCTTTAGCTCTTGAACGAGTGGTTATACCCATAGCAGTCTACAAATTTTACATTATATGGGTTTAGTTCTATCCACAGATGCTATTCATGCATGTTGCCATGACAATTAGATTTAAACCTTAATCAGATGTCCTTGGACATTGACATTTCCTAATTCCACATTTCTAGTCGATAGCAATAAAGCCAAAGCTGTAGTGGTTACTTTCATTTGGTAAGCACCCTGAATTTCACCTGAATTTATTTGCATTAAAAAAGATTATTGGTTGATTGCTATAAAAAAAGAAATGAATATTGAAACAGATATGCTAAAAGGCCTAAGAAAGCAACAATTATGTGGATTTGTTCCCCAGCATACAAGGTGGTTGATTTGTTCAGTCCAATTGATTTCTCAGAGGAAAACTAAAAATTGATTTAACAAGATCACTAAGTTCTACTTATCTATGCGTGCGTTTTTTTGTGCCCCGCATCAAAATAAGAGAAATCCTAGTCAAGCAGAAGTGAGCATAGGTGCAACGGACAGAGGAATAGAAAAAAAAAAATTATATTCCGGTTCCAGAACTGAATTCAGAATTAAATTTTTCAGATCTAAAAACCCTGCTATTTTGTCTATAATATTAACTATTAAGCCTCACTTCCTCCCAGCCCCCAAGAGAGCTGAATCAGAATAGGTCAAGTTGCAAACATGTACAAGCACTAAAAGATCTATTTGACAATTGAAGGGCATTTGATACAAATGTGTACATCATCTAAAATTTGATACAACATACATATAAAAACATCATAAAATATAGAGACAAAATGCAAATCCTATATGCATGGTAGGCAAAACCAGGAAAAGGAATGAAATAGAAATGTAACAATTTGAAAGTATATGTAGTCAGTCATACATTATCGCTATACCAAACCCAATAAAGAACCAAGTTAAAAGTACACTTGCCTTGTTGCCTAGTCCATTCAAACATTAGATAAGCAAAGGAGTTTATATGGCCTTCAGCTGGGATCGAGACCAGCAGATCAATAAATTGTCCAATGTGTGGGACACTCATATGGACCTGTATGGAGAAGAAACATACTTTTCAGTTTTAGCATTGCACAGTTATGCTCAGTGAAAGGGAAGAAAGCACTGCAAATGATTTAGGATAAGAAATCGTACAATTTGAATAAACATCTGTCACTAATTCAGGTCACGCAGGCATTTTTCTCTAGAATCAATGCTAGCAGCGAATTTTATCATTCACATAACAGATTCAATTTAGTGCAACTCAACACTAAACAGCCAACATATGCTTGACGGAAATCAATTATGAAGCCTTTTAAATTATAGTTTCTTTCAATTAGGTGAATAAGTTGTTTTTAGAACCCCTTAGGCTAGAAAGATTGAAGGACCACTTGCGGAAGCATTATTCTATTATTTGGGGATTATCCAATTGTGATCCCATATTTTTAACCACCACAAATTACATTTCAGATATTTTTCTGGTACCACAACTAAAAATACCATTTCACTTGGAGGACATACTAAAATCTACAACTATTCAAGGCTTTATGGAATTAGAATGGTTTTTCACCATTCCCATTGGAGAAGGTCCTATGTTTTTCTTCTTTCTATACATTGTTCAAATTAAAAGTCACTTCTTTCTCATGATTCATCTACAGATATGGCGAGGGTGACTTTTAGTGTGCATTCAATAAATGTAAGATATTGTACATGCCTATGAATGTAAAGCAGAACAGTAATATGATTGACAGAAAAACTTGAAACCCAACATATATTACTGGTCAATAAGATTTTTAAAACATAAAATCTTTTCTTATATTGTTTATGAAAACTTGAATAGAACTTACTATCTGATTTGATTTACAATTCTATGATGCGGGGCTTGAATTCTTGATTCAGATTTGAAAACTATAGATTAAATCCAAAGAAAAATTAACGAACCTACTAAAATGAACAATGTCATTATACGAAGAATGAAGCAATAAACATATGGCAGTTTGTGGCTTTATTTGGTCATAAATAGAAAATGAAGAAAAGTGATTTAAATTGCTAACACCAGACAATTAGACATAAATGATAATTGGGATCACTCATGAAAGTCATAGTGCTATTGACACAGTTAATGCAAAAGCTTCATGTTATACAAATTTGTGTATTCACAGGAAATTATCACATACAGGTTACAGCATTGTGAGCAATATAGACATTATTGTCTGAATTTATTGTAAAACAATAGAGCAAATGCAGGTAAACCTTACATGAGGTCCATGATAAATCGATATAACACTTTCAAATAAAAGAGAATGAAAGAAAGAAATACCAATCTAGCAAAAATGAGCAGCAGTGAACTTTTCAGTCCAGAAATTTGACAAGATTGCGTGCGTCTAATAAGAGCAGCAACAAGGTCTCTGATATGCTGTGCCATTTGTGAAGGAAGATGTAATATAAGTTGTAAAATGTAGCTACCAACGAAAAGTGATCCAGAGCTTTCTAAATCAGGGTCTAAAAGCCTGCATGTAAATTATACTAAACAATTTAGCAAGAAAAGTTGCAGAACTTTAATACCTAGTAGATATATACTGTTTGATGTGTTCATGTTTGCGTCAATTTTAGTAAGAACTATCAGACTGCAAACAACTGGCATCAGCTTCAAAATTAAAAATTCATAAGAAATCGAAATTATACTAATGTATGGTGCACAACAGAATTTAAAAGGAAAAACATCTGCAAATACTAACAGTAGAATAAATTTCTAGAATGGATCTATCACATCAGAGTAGGTATCAAACGTCTCCATAAATTTCTTTAGTGAAGATGCCTAATAATCCAGGTCACAAACATTCTGCAAACCCGCCTTACCTATAGTTTCTGAAAAAAATGTCGTGGAAGAAATTCATCCACTAAAATCACATTAAATTTTCGGTCAATGTCCAAGCTGGCCATAACTAAGGTTGATCTAAGCACAAGCAAAAGTTTGTATGTTTCAGTAATTATGCCAGAAATATGCATGACATAATAATTAGGGAAAAGAAATGTGTAAATTGCAATTTTCTGTTCTGTACTTCACTGAATGAAACAACGTGTCAGAAATAGCATTAGGATAATTTGATGAGAAGCTGACAACCAACTTCATCAAAGTCCATGGAGTAGTATTTGCCAAGTTTTTTCTAACGAGGTAAATGATATTTACAAGGTTATAAAAGTCTAATGAAAAGAGAAAATCACCTAGAAACTACATCAAGCAAACTCCTCATTGTAAATCCAGGATCACCACACCAAGAAAGTAAATCTTGTTTCCCACCAGACACAAGAGCAGCTAAGCATTGGGTTGCATTCTGGCCAATATGAAAAAATACGGACGAGTTATTTCAACATTAGCAAGTATAATCCAAGAAAAAGCACAGGAAAGATAGCAACAACCGAAGGAGAGTATAGGGAAAGAAAAAATCAAAAGAACCTGCATTTCACTGTGGTCATCGCTCTGAAGGATTATCCTAATGACAGGATCAAAGGAAACTTCATATACTGCTTTTACGACATCAATAGAAGCGTTCTGGAAAAACATAATAATACAGTGTCACCAACCATGATGATAAACATAGGTAGCATAGTAACTTGACAAGTGAGCTCACCTTCAATAGCATTGTCACAAGATCCAGTGAACCAGAAACTAAACCATCAGGTTGTTGGAGAGGCTGACAAATACCAGCAATATCATCAGAAACAGAAATCTAACTTGAACTGCTAAGAATTGTTCCCAATATTATTCAAATGGACAAACTTTTGAGAGCATACATTACTGAGAATTGGACCAATATAAGGTAAAACTCGAGAAACCAGAGAATGAATACAACCCGGAACATTTTTTATTGCCTGAAGAGAATAACAAACAAAGATGTAAACAATATTATCAAGAGAAATACAGCAAGGATCAAACATTTTTCAATTCAAGGAACTTCTTGTATTTTCTCTATCATGAGAAACCCCAAGCACTCGAGGAGATGTATGACAAGAAGTGGCATACATAACTCGGTCACAAAAGAAGCATCATAAATACAAAAATCTGAGACAACTTTCATCTGAAAAAAAAAATAGTTTTTATCTGCCACAACTAATCTCATCACATATTTGGAAAGAAGTCAAGAAAATGAGGGATAAGTAACAGTATTTTCATGAGTGCCGATTCAAAGTGTAATTAGACAGAAATGGCTGAAACACAAGTGTAAAAACAGGAGAAGCACATGGTATGTGCATTATGTTAGAAGATTTTATCTGCATAACATGACAAGGCAAGTTCACTGATTAGTATTTTTCCACAGGGAAAAGGTAGAGCAATGTTCATGGGTTGACCAAACAAGATTAGACATGGGACTGTATCATAAAAGTAAAACAAAAAGAAATAAATCAAAGAAAAGCTTAAAAGAAGGAAAGGGGAGAAGTTAGTCTCAAATCATGTCACGGTCCTTGCCGTTGCAATAAGTTATCACACTAAATAGCACTTGCCATTTTTTCAAGAACAAACTACAATCCAATAAAACACTGCATGAAAAAATAATAATAATAATAATAATAATAAAACAAATAAAATAAAAAATCAACAACATTTGAAACTCACCTCAAGAACCTCTAGAGCATCAATGCTTATGAAAGGGTCTGAGACATGTGACGCCCACATATTAAGGATAATAGGAGAGATTATTGGCTCTATTGATGCTGAAAATTCATGACCTATAATACACAAACACAAAAATAAAGCACGTATGGAGTTCGAAAATATCATTAGCAAACAAAACTCAGAGCCAGCTCAACATTGAATGTGAAGTTGCACAATAAATTTTTCCAGTTACATTGATACTGACCAGCCTTCACAGCTGCTTGTAGGGTTTCAAGGACAAGATGCATGGTTTCATCAGACGCCTATGAAACAAGAAGCAATCAGTGACTTATATTCAACAATAAAAAGGAAAATTATATTAACTAAAAAGACATGATAAAGGGAAAATTTGTTGAGGTGTCACGTTACATTGTTAAGAAGTTCTGTAAGTGAAGAAAATAAATCCAACACATGAGAACGAAGAATTCCTCTGTCCGCATCTGGTAGGAGCTGGGAAAGAGCTCGACAGGCACCAACTTTCACTGGTGGGGGTCTGAAAAAAGAAACAATCAATAAGTTATATTTCCAATAGTTAGAAGCAACAGAAAGAATTATTCTAAATTTGACACTCACACATCCATGCCAAGTGACTTAATAGCAGCATAGAGAAAATGTTCGGTTACTCTATGGTTGATCTGCACATGGTATGGAGCCAAATAAGAAGATTTACCAAAAATCAAAACCAATTTCTTTCCTTTTCATAATTTTGTGTGGTGTTGGGACGTGCCCACCAGGGGAGGGAGGCAGAATTGTTTCGTAGTTACCACAGAGGAAAACTTTGCAACGGATGAAAACAATCGGGCATAAAGAAAGGGATATTCATGTACTCCTGCACAATAAAGAGGACAACCTCATCATATATTGAATTGCAAATATAAGCATCCATATAAGAGAACTGATTTTCCAGGAAAAAAATCCGTCTTGTCTATGTGCATCAAATGATGTCAGTGCAACTCACTGAACATGGCCCACCTGTTGCCATGTCTTCAGTTAAAATTTGCTCTAATATATTTCCTATACCAAGAGCGGAAACCTGTAAGATAAAAAAGAAGCATTCCAATTCAAGTTTCTTTACAGAAGATTCTGCTTCCATTATAAGAAATGGTAAACCAAGATATTTTTTACAAGCAACCCAACAATAATGCTCAGATTCAGAGTAAGATCTTTAAAGGAGTTCAATTAATGAAGCATCATCAATGAACCACACACCTCTGCTTGAAGCAACTGGTCTGAAACGGAAGCCAAAGCAAAAAGGATAGCCTCCCGTAACTGTGAGCATATTCAATGGGAAAAAAATTAGTCAAAAAGAGCACTTAATTAGAAGAAAAAGTTTCTAATTGTGACTAATCCCTATATTGCAATAGCCTTAACTGGAGAAACATAGTAATCGAATAAGTCATAAGATGGTTCAAATATGTCGTTTTTATATTCTTCCAAGTTTCGTGCATGTTTCTTTCATATTATTTATAGTGTCACATGAGGGGCTTTGGCAGACCAACATCAGGAAAACATACAGCAGAAAATAGCTTCTCATAAGATTTAGGACCGTAATTAGATCCTCCATTTTACCTATAAACCAGCTCATTGTTTATTTGAGTTTTCCTTTTAAGTCCAATGTTTCCTGATCATCATCATTAAAGAAATTACAAGAAGCGACTATGTTTCTCTCCACCAAAAGACAGGGGAGAGTGGAGGTTAGTCAATCAACTACATTACTCAGGCTCAGGCATGGTTATGGATCCAAGTGTAGGATATTGGAATTGTCAAAAACCAAAATCCAGGAACATGGCCAAAAAGTGTTTCAATATTGGATACAGGATTGTGAAGAATATTATAAATTATATATAATAAACTTGTTTCTATTACAAATAAAAGGGCCCTATTTATAGGGCTATAAATAACTCTAAAATAAAAGATTGCATAATAATTATACAATCAACTATTAAGGAAAATAATCTTACACTATTGGAAAAATATCATAGAGATTATTCTTTCCATATCTTCAACACCCTCCCTCAAACTCAATATGGTGTAGCAGCAGTCAACTTAAGTTTGAAAGATAAATTGATCCAATCAAATCTTCAAAATTGCTTGTATGTCAACAAAGCCGAACAAATAACTCAAAGTTGATGATAATGAAAATCATCATCCACCAATATAACCAAACCATCACTAATACTTGAAGGAGAAATCAAGTAAATCTCAATACTGATTGGAGAGGAATAAGGAACACTCATATTTGTAAGTAACTAACGCATCCACTACTAGACCAAATTGATGCAAATTTCATATCCAAATTAATTGGATGCAAATTTCAAATTCCAGCTTGACAAATACCAAATGAAATGGACGCAAATTTCAAATTTCAGCTTGACAAATACCAAATAAATTGGATGCAAATTTCAAATTTCGGATACACCGAACCAACACCAAATCAAATTCCAGATGAACTGGACATATACTAAACCAAATTCCAAATGAACTGGACCAAATTCCAGACGAACTAACATATACTAAACCAAAGTGATAAATCCGAAAAGAAAAAAAAAACAACATTGGCAGCCGGACGAGTGGCTCAAGGCCGCTCTCCGAAAACAAAATTCAAATGTTAATTTATTTAAGATCGAAACTGCTCTGATACCATGTGAAGAATATTATAAATTGTATATAATAAACTTATTTTTATTACAAAGTAAAAGACCCTATTTATAGGGCTATAAATAACTCTAAAAGGAAAGATTGCATAATAATTATACAATCAACTACTAAGGAAAATAATCCTACACTATTGAAAAAATATCATAGAGATTATTTTTTTCATATCTTCAACAAGGATGAACACACTATTCATAAAAAAAACTGAAAAACACATTTCAAGAAAATCTATACATTAAAAGGTCAAAGAATTGATATGGAAAAGACACATTTTGTTACTTTGATAGTGAATTGTAGTTAGGGCTTAGCCTTCGGAGTTGTATAAGATATCAGAGAATCATCTTAGTTTCTGAAGGGTAGGACACTTGTGTCATGATATGTGGTGTATTGTTGTTCGTACTTGAGTAGGATTTGGTAACCATGTCACAATGACATAAGCCACTACAGTATAATCTCATATACGACGTATTAGCACTAAATTAAGGAATAATGATTAAATTGTACACTTGTCATTGCATCTTTCTTCAACTTACTCTCCACCAGCCTGGAGAACCACTGTCTTTCCCTTGTTGAGACTCGCTAATTCGTCTTTTTGCAGAGTCAATTACAGCCTGTATTCCCTCCGCCCCACATGAACTGATGACCTCTTCCAATAGAAGGGCACCTGCAAGAAATGGTATTTGATAAGAAAATAAGGTACCTGAAATCGAACATTTCAAAGACAAAGAATGCCAATTGGAATAATTGAAAAAGACGACAACTAATCCCCATCAGCAGCAACTTCCAAGGACTAACTGGTTTTTTGTCAACATTACCATAAACCACTTACCAGAAACACGACAACTATAAGTGTTGTCATCCTCATCAGCAACATATTGATTAGCATCGAGAGACCAGGTATGTACCTAGAAGGAAGTTGCTTGTCAAAATGATGATAAAGAAAAAATGATGGTCGGAAGCACACCAACATATAGCAAGCTATCAAGAACGTATTTCTACAGTAAAAGAAATAATGTGTCAAGAGTGCTCATCAAAACAATTTTACACAAAATTTATCTAAAGCTGTAACATGGCAATCAGCACAAAAGAATTCTCAAGACTGGGGCATGCAGCACTGTTCTAATGTCTCCATTTTCTTATTCCCCACCCACTGCAGATGAACAATCCCCACTCCCACCCCAAAAACAAAAAGAAAAGAAGGTTTCCCCTATCTTGGTTGGTTGTTTTCTCAGCTGGTCCCAACTTTTCACTACCTATAACAGAAGGCGAAGTCAGGGACAGAGGTTATTAGAAAGAAATGATACAACATGCATAAAATAGACGAACTTTGAATCACACACATTAACAAAGCATAGAGACTGAAGAACATCACATAAGCTCTTATAGGAGCCCAACTGTTTTTTTTATTTTGCCTCCGTTTCCTGTTTATGAAGCTACATAATTTCATGCTAAATAGCAAAGTTCCATACCCATTTCATATCTAAAATCAACATGCCCAAATTCAATCCACATGAAATAAAATTTTAAGTATTCACACAGGACGTACAATACTTTGATTATTTTGTGTTAAGGATGTAAAACTAAATATTGAACAGTATGCAATTTGTTGCTATCAAGAAAATGACACATTCCCATGTAACACGAGCGAGGGAGGAGGGAGGGAGAGTGAAGAACCTGTTGTTCTGTCATTTGAAGGAAACCAATGGTATAGTACACCAACTCTTTGACATTGTTTGCAACAACCTACATGGAAAAATCATTAACCCCAGATTTAGTACCCCAAGTATTGCCACAATAAAAGGACGAAAAATCAAAGATAAGATTTAAAACACACCTTCACAAACTTCGGGCTTCCAACAATGGTCAATAGAAACTCAAATAACTGCATGACCAAATAAAAGCAGGAAAATTGTCAGCCCCCCACACAGTAGCCCTCATCCACCAAAAATATAAACAAAGTAAATCACATATACAAGTGATAGTCCAAACTCCAGGTTGGTATCTTGGATCAACATGACATAATTTTCCAAGACTGCTAAAGAATTCCAAGATTGGAACCAAACTTCAAGCCAACCTTTCAAGTTTCAATGAATAGAATTTGAATTCTCCACAGTATTCCCCATCAATTGAAAAAAAAAAAAAAATCAAAGTTATACTACTCACTAGAGACAAGTAGAAAGGGAAAAGGAAGCTGTTCTACTCAACAGGGAAATCTATGGGACATTAGCACATATATGTTTACTTTGAGAAAACATGATGGTGAAAAACTATGTAATTATAAATATTGAAACACGTATTGAAATTATTTCGAACTTGTTTCACATTTCCTACAATTTAGGAGGAATTTCCTAGCATAAAGTTTTTAAGAAGGCACATAAACAATATGTAATACTATTGCATATATAATAAAAAAGTAACAAAGTACACTTCTAAATTTCTTGAAGGACTTTAAAACACAGATGCATGGCCTTTGTTTGTGTATTACTCTCAAAATTCAATATGATATTAACCTGGATGACAAACGACTCAAGACTTTTTTCTGCACCATCAGAATCATATCTTCCATCGTAAGGATCTTCTGCACCTTCAATTGATGATCGCTGATACACTTCCAGAGATGATACAAATGTCTGCCATAATGGCCCCACAATGACTGAAATGGGACCAAAAATAGAAGAAAATATAAGGTGACAAAATAATCAGCATAAAAGGAAAGAGGAAAAAATAAGAGCATCATCCTGAAAACTTGATGGTGTGCACCTATAAACCGAGTTTCAACTAGGCCAGGGAAATTCTTAATGAACTGACTCAAGCACTTCAAAACCTGATTGTGGTACAGTAAAAATATTGTTATAGTTCAGTTAATTGGCATGTGGCATAATGATTGACAATTTGTAGAGAAGAGTTACCTCCATTCTAATGCTCCAGTCATCAGGATCTTCAGCTGGCACTCGATGATTTAGAATAGAAGAAAACTGATCCATCCAAGGCTGGAGCATGGGCAGCATCAATTCACTTGTATCTGTCTAATAACACGTAGCAATTCATAATCAGTTTTTGTAATAGAATGAATATGTCCAATTAGCCTGAATCATAGATGTCATAATTGCATACCTTATAGACACCACTCATGACCCCTAGCATGGAGGTACAGTTATAAACTATGGTAACAGCTTTTGACCGAAGATACGTGTCATAGTTCTGAAAAATACGACCCACAAGTAAGTTAGATTAGAGAGTGAGTCCAAGAATGTCTCCTGTTCTACACAATTACTTCTATGAAGTCAATAACTCATGTGTATTCAACCCGATAAAACAGTGTACGGAATTAAAAACATAAGAAAGTATACATGCTTCTCCTTTATATTTTACTGTTGGGAACAAACAAGAAGTACATTATTAAGATGTATATTAAATAATAGTAGCAGTACATGTTTTTTGCACTGTGCACATGAAATCGGAAAGGTCATTTTGAATATCTGTGAGGACTTGAAGCCTGTTATTGCTGTTAGCCATTAGGAATAGTTCCCTGAGAATAATTTGTTGCACCAGCATATCTCTTTACTAAAAGTTATGATGAATCAACATTGTAATCTGCACTTGCATCCATGTAACATAGGACAAACTCCCTAGAGCTGTGCTTCGATTAAGTAATTTACCTATGTCGAGAACCCATGTCTCGAGGCATGAAAAGATATTTGTTCTTCAGGAAAAATAATATTTTGTACTGCCTCCAAAAGAAGACACAAGAGAAAGTAGAATGTGAATCAATTAGCTATTGATGTGATTTTCATCAAGTCCAACCACTTCCTAATCCAAGATCTTCTTTTGCTCCCAATACTAGTGCATACACAAACGTGTGTGATGAGAAGTAAAGAGAGAGAGGAACTTATGAAGGGAGCAACTATCCTCTGTTCATGTTCTCTTACAAGATAATAGGTAAGTAAAACTGTCAAAGGATTCCTTAACAGAATTAATATATACTTCGATATCAAATGAAATATTTGCATTCCATTGTCACTGTAAAATTTTAATTGAAGGATTCAATTCCTTCTCTGTACCTTTATTATCAGCAGCTCTCACAAATCAGTGTAAGTTTCAGGTAACTTATAAATTGAATCATATTACATTATATATTTCACTTTGACAACTTAACAGCACAATTTTAGACAAGGACATAGTATTTTCTCATAAAAAAATTTATATAATGGTAAAAGGAAGTCAAGGTGGTAAACAAAGCTAACCTGAGGGGATGACACAATTAGGTGCAAACATGGGAACAGAACAGGCACAATTTCTGGAACCAGCTTATCATCCATGTCTGAAGAAATAAGAGCTAAGCATCTTAAAGCCCCATGAACTGCATCATTCAACAGTGACAATTAATGTCATCTCAGGGAAGATAGTCATCAATACAAAAATCTCACCGAGGTTACATAATCAAAGGCTAATTCCTGCTACAATAACAACCCAGTCAAACAGGTATCTTCTGGCCTATCAATGGCATCATAAAGTGAAACAAGCACTAACCAGCATTCTTTTTAGTTTGGTCGTTGATCAAACTTAGAAGGAAAGGCATTAGCTCAGGCCAATCATCTGGCCAATCGTATTGTGCAATTGATGCCACAGCTACACTAACTGCTGTACAGATTTTCTTGTAAGGATCATCTAATGATGATAGAAGCAATCTACGTATTGATGCCTGATAAAATTAAAAAGAAATAGATTAGGTCAGTATAGCATTCTTTAGTTATTACCTCCTTCAGTAACTACATCATTCCCGTTAGGAATATGCAGCACATACATTTCTGATTCAAATAAATTACATACTACACTAACTAATTGTGTATTAGTTAGAAACAAATCCTAATAAGAATATTTGGCCTTAAAGAATATACAACCTCAAGTTGGTCACTTTTGAAAACTAAAAAGGAATTCATAGTCACAATCTTTAGATAAAGGAGGCACTAAATTTATCAGAATGTAACAGTTGTGACGTATCTGCAATCTAAACAAAGTCAAGAAAAGACCTTTTCATCAGTCGAAGCCACAGGATGCTCAAAGTCTTCCTCGTCCTCATTCCAGTGTTTCTTAATAAACTGCTTTAGCAGAACCACCGCTAAGTAAATGTATGTTAATTCCCACAAGACAGAAATCAAATGAAAAAGTCAATTATCAATGCAGCAAATATAAGCCAAAACTTTCTTTAAAATCAGTAACAATACAAAGGATATCTGCCTCAATCCATTTGGGAGCTCCCTGTTCGCACCAACGCTAGCTAAAGCCACTCCAAAACCTTTTCAAGAAATTCCAAAACATATTTCAATTCCATTTCTTAAATAAATCAGTAGATACTAAACATTTGAAAAGAGAGATTCTTTTTTAAATAGAAAAAACATTCCATTTCCCAAATGGTCGTGTAAGTATAAATAATCAAAAAAAAACTTTAAAAATCAACTTAATTGTTATGAGAGGAAGCAAGGAGTCCAGTTAGAATGGGGGCTGAAGAGAAAAAGAGATAACAGAACAAAGAAGGCAGAAGAAGAAGGAGAAACAGCTAGTAGCTTTTAAAGGAAATTCAAATTAGGGAACAGCATCGTTTGGTTAAATTCTAAATTGTAAAAGATAAACATGTTTTTGCTTCTTCATTCACGTTTTATGCTTCCTGTTATAACCACCAGAAGAAAGAGAGGAATGGCGTGAATGATTAGTGTGATTGTTTCATTTCCTCTCTAATTCTCTTTCTTCTCTCCTCCTCCTCCTCCTCCTTCTTCACTATGACTCCTATTCTAGTTGATAGGACACAGAGCTCTGGGGTAGGAAATTCTTCAACTCAGGGGAATGGTAGAGGTGAGTAGAAGCTAAACACTAAAATTTCTAAGATTGATTTTCCCTATTTTAATGCCCCAGGAGTGGCTGAGAAAGGCTCGAGAGTATTTTCAGATGCATCAAGTACCTAATGAAATGAGAATAGGTATAGCAAAGATGTACTTGTAAGGGAAGGCAGATATATGGTTTCATTGGTTCATCACCAGCAACCCAGATGCAGGTTGTGAATCCTTTTCCACTGAATACGAGGTTCGCTGAAAACACAGCTGAAGAGGTGATTGATGTTTTTAGCAAACTGAGGCAGAAGGGATCAATTACTGAATATCAAGAGCAATTTGAAGAGTTAAAATCTCAGGTGATGCTGTCTTTACCCCCACTAACCTGAATCCTATTACTTCTCTTTCTTTACCAGTGGCCTAAAGGAAGAGATCAAATCCATGGTTAAAATCATTAAACCCGCATCTCTAGCTAAAACCTTTGAAATATCCTTCCTATAAGATAACACCGTCACAGCCTTCAACAGAGGAAACAAATCATTCAAGTCATACCAACCAACCAAATGGACTCATCCCAACAATAAACCAGGTGAAACCACCACTAAAACCACTCCTCATTCAGAACCAAACTAAAGAAATCCTACTAACCCGCTAAAATTTAAGGCCATTACCGACTTCCAAACCAAAGGAGAATTGGGACTTTGCTGCAAATGTGATGAGAAGTATATACGTTATCATGTATGTCGAAACCGGATGTTAAACTTTATATTGGTGGATGAGGAAGACGGGAGAAACTGATAACATGCCCAAGAATGAAAAGGAGCAGAGAATGAAGGAGGACCCAGAAGAGGTGATGAAAATTTCAATTCATACCCTGATGGGCAGCGATAGGACGAGAACTATCAGGCTCCTAGGAATGATCAAGGGGAGAAGAGTGTCTATATTGATTGGCAGTTGGAGTACCCACAGCTTCATTGATGAACAACTGGCCAAAAGTATCAACTGAAAGAAGCAAGAAGTTAAACTCACATCAGTAACAGTGGCAGGAGGGGATTGTTGATTAGCAATGCTGTCTGTAACCCATTAATATGGAGGATGCGGGATCTAGAGTTCCAATATCATTTGAAGGTATTTAAGCTAGGAGGAAATGATATGGTACTTAGGTTAGATTGGCTAAATCAATTCAGCCGTGTACTGTTTGGTTTTTGTAAGGAAAGCATTAAATTCACTCATGAGGGCACGTAAATGGAGCTAAACAGTGAGACAATCAAGGAAGAATTTAATATGATGATTGAGGTTGAAGAAAGGTGTTGGTTCACGAATCAAACCTATGGAGTGATAGCTCAAATTACTGTCGACAATGAGGAGCAAGAGCTTGTACCAGCTAAAGGACAGGCTATGGTGAACAAGTTTTCCATAGTTTTCTCAGAACCAAAACGATTGCCACCTCCCAGGTTTAATGATCACCATATACCACGTAAGGAGGGAGCACGGCCTTTTAAAATTAGGCCATACGGATGTCCCTACATACATAAAATAGATATTGAAAGGATAGTCAAAGAGATGAAAGAAAGTGGAATCATTCGGCCAAGTAACAGCCCTTAAGCCTCTCCTGTGCTTTTAGTCAAGAAAAATGTTGGGACATGGAGGTTTTGTGTGGACTATAGGCAGCTTAATAGCCTCACCATTAAAGACAAAAATACCCTATGCCATTAATTGAAGAACTATTAGATGAGTTGAAGTGAGCAAGGTGGTTCACAAAAATAGACTTGAGGTCAAGGTACCACCAAACCAGAGTTGCAAAGGACGATATTCATAAAACAGCCTTCAAGACACATGAAGGCCTCTATGAATTCAGAGTGCTTCCCTTTGGGCTTTACTAATGCTCCAGCCACATTCCAATTTTTGATATATTAAGTATTTAAAAAGCAATTCAGGAAGTTTGTTTTGGTATTTTTTTATGACATCCTGATCTACAACACTAATTTGAGAACTCACGGTGAGCATGCAGCTGTGGTCCTTGACCTCCTAAGAAGACATCAACTATATGCTAAAGGAAGCAAATGTTATTTTAGGGACATGCCATCCCTACAGAAGGAGTAGCTGTTGATTCTTCTAAGGTGGCTGCAATGCATGAATGGCCTAGACCAGTCAATGTCAAATAGTTGAGAGGGTTCTTGGGATTGATAGGGTATTACAAGAGATTTGTAAAAGGATATGGATCCATGGCCAGACCCTTGACTAATGTAATGAGGAAGGAGAAATTGAATTGGAATGAGGCTGTTAAACTAGCATTCTAGGAATTGAAAATTTCTATAAGCACTACACCTGTGTTGGCTTTACTAGACTTCACTATACCTTTTATCATTGACACTGATGCATGTCATGGAGAAATGGGAGTTGTACTGATGCACAATAAAAGACCTATAGCCTACCTGAGTAAAGGTATCAAAAGTAGAAACTTGGGCTTGTCCATCTATGAAAAAGAGCTACTAACTTTGGTGATAGTTGTGGGAAAGTGGGGGCACTACCTAGAGGGACACCATTTCATCATAAAAACAGACCATCAATCACTTGATGTAACTACCTGACCTCGTGCCGGAGCCGTCATCATATCGTACGTACTGTCCGCTTTGGAAGAGCCTAGGCCCATCTTACCCCTCACGAATTTCAACTTAAGTCTCTCATATGATGGAGGTCTTGAGTTCGAATCCTGGGAGCCGCGTCAGAAAGCCTTAAGGGGCAAGATGGGCCTAAGCTCTCCCAAATCGGACAGTACGTACGATATGATGACTGCTCTGGCGCGAGGTCGGGTCGGGTCGTTTCAAAAAAAGCCGACCTTGCGCCACAGACGTCATCATATCGTACGTATTATCCTCTTTGGGAGAGTCTAGGCCCATCTTACCCCTCACAGCTTTCTGACGCATCCCCTAAGATTCGAACCCAAGACCTCCATCATAAAACTTAAATCTCCCATATGATGGAGGTCTTAGGTTCGAATCCCGTGGGACGCGTCAGGAAATTGTGAGGATGGAGGTCTTAGGTTCGAATCCCGTGGGACGCGTCAGGAAGCTGTGAGGGGTAAGATGGGCATAAGCTCTTCCAAAGTGGACAGTACGTATGATATGATGACAGCTGCGGTGCAAGGTCGGGTCGTTCCCGACCTCGCGCCGGAGCCGTCATCATATCTTACACCCAAGACCTCCATCATATGGGAGATTTAAGTTGAATCCTGGTTTTTGTAACGATCTCGCGCCGGAGCCGTTATCATATCATACGCACTGTCCGCTTTGAAAAAGCCTAGGCCCATCTTACCCCTTAAGGCTTTCTGACGCGTCTCCCAGGATTCGAACCCAAGACCTCCATCATATGAGAGACTTAAGTTAAATCCCTGATGGAGCAAAGAATTATCATTCTATTACAGCAAAAGTGGTTAACAAAGATTTTAAGGCATAACTATGAAATACAATACAAAAAGGGGGTGAATAATAAAGTGGCAGATGTACTATCCAGAAGAGAAGTCAAGGAAATAGAGTGCTTGACAATCACCACAATAACCCCAATTTGGATTCAAGAAGTAATTGACAGCCAAGGAGATGAAGAAGCTAAAAATAAGATACTGCATTGCTGCTCAATGACAAGGCAGTACCAAACTACACTTATAGGAATGGACTCCTGAAATATAAATCAAAACTTTACATTAGCTCTAGAGGAGAAGTGAGGAAGAAGTTGATTAGGGCAATTCATTCTTCACAAGGAGGACACTCCGGAGTCCAAGCCAGCATCCACAGAGCTAAGCAACATTTTTTCAAGCTTGGATGCTTAAAGACATTAAAAAAGAAGTTCTAGAATGTAACAAATGCCAGAGGTGCAATAGTGAACATGTGGCATACCTTAGATTGTTGCGGCTATTGCCAGAACCATAGTATGCCTAGAGTCATATCTCCATGGACTTTATTGAGGTGTTACCTACTTCTGGAGCTAAGAATGTCATACTGGTTGTGGTGGATAGGTTTACCGAGTATGCACACTTCCTACCACTAGCACATCCATTCTCAGCTACAACTATATCAAAGTTGTTTTTGGATAACATCTACAAAGTACATGGCATGCCACAAAGTATTGTCATAAATAGAGATAAGATCTTCACAAGCGAATTTTGGCAGGAGTAGTTCAAACAAATGGGGGCCAAATTGCAATTGAGCTCTGCTTACCACCCACAAACAAAGAGACAAAATCAATGTCTTGAGATGTATCTGCGGTGCATGGTTTATAAGAAACCTAAGCAGTGGAGTAAATGAATCGGTTTGGCTGAACAGTGGCATTGAGACCCTATCAGTAGATTAATGTAGCAGCAGTGGAGAAATTACTGCAGGAAATGCATAAAATGGACCAAGTTCTACCAGAAAACCTGGCACAGGCCAAAGCCAGAATGAATCATTATACAGACAACCATAGGACTGAAAGGGAATTCCAACTAGGGGATTTGTTATACCTCAAATTTCATCCTTATGCTCAACAGAATGTGGCTAAACGAACAACCAAGAAACTGACTGCGAAATACTACGGGCATTACATGGTGATACAAAAATTTGGGAAAGTAGCCTATAAACTGGAATTGCCAGCTAAAGCTCAAATCCACCCTATTTTTTACGTCTCTTTGTTGAAGAAAAAAAATTAGGGAGAAAAAGGTTCCAACCTATGCACTTCCAGAACAATACAAAGGTTGGGAAGATAAAGACAACCACTACGAATTCTGTCTACGAGAATGGTTAAGAAAAATGGTCAAGCCATCAGCCAATGGGTAGTGTACTAGCAAGGAACCAGTACAGACGATGCTACCTAGGAAAACGCAGATGGAGTGCGAGAAAAGTTCCCAACATTTGAACCTTGGGGACAAGGTTATCCTAAGGGAGAGGGATGTTACGAGGAGAAGCAAGGAGTCCAGTTGTAATGGGGGCTGAAGAGAAAAAGGAGATAACAGAACAAAGAAGGCAGAAGGAGGGAGAAACAGCTAACGGTTTTTAACGGAAATTCAAATTAGGGAACGGTGTCGTTTGGTTAAATTCTAAATTGTAAGAGAAAAACACATTTTCGCTCCTTTCAGGTTTTATACTTTCTGTTATAACTGCCAGAAGAAAGAGAGGAATGGCGTGAATGATTAGTGTGATTGTTTCATTTCCTCTTTAATTCTCTTTAGTCTTCTTCTTCATTGTTAGTTGGCGTCATTGTTCTTCATTATTGCAGTCAATATATTGGGTACTGATTTCCTTTCATTTTCTGATCTATTCTTGCTGATTAACTGAGTTTGGGGTGTGAAATTGAAGTTCAACCACGACATTAATATTCAATTGTCATGCAGAGATACAGAAATTAAAACATTAAAATCAATTTCAGTTCACAAATGAAGATTCAAATACATAGAAAGAGATTTTGAGCTTCATCTTGCTGATTCCCACTTTACCTTAAAGGTCATAAACAACACAATCAAGTCAATTTTCTCAAATTCAACTTATTTATTACATAACAAGAGGAAGATCAAACTTCAACCCCCAAATGTAAATCGAATATGTAGTACAAAACAAAAATTCAACATAGCTACAAAAATATGTGAAAGTATATACTCGAAGTTATAAAGAAAATCAAATTAAAATCATTTGGCAAGTAACAAAAAGAAAATCAAACTTCAATTCCCAAATGTACATCCATATGCAGTATTAAAAACTCAACAGACGGACCTGGCTGAAGCGACGCTTGTTGGAGCGAAGTTTCGGCGAACGATCGGACTTGATGGTTGGGATCGAGAGAGGCACTCAAACAGTTAATTAGCCATTGCTGATCTTGATCCATTCAGAAAACTGACTTGCTTCTCTGGGTGTGTATTTTATGGCGGGATACTGAGTATGGAAATGGAGAAATGTGCGGCAAATGGGAGGGAGATTTTGCAGTTGGGGTTTTGTAATTGGGGGTATTTTATAGGGGTTAGGGTTTCCATCAGCTGTCAACATTTGACTATGCTCCTCCTTTTCTTTTCTTTTACACAAATGCTCAAACTTCAACCATAAAGCAACTATTGAACCCTCCTTCAAAACGTTCTGAAGAACGGTATTCTATAGATAAAGATGAATGTGAGAAACTACCTTCTTATCCTTCCGTAATTTCTCCTCCACAGTCAAAGTTGCGGACATCTTGTCAATTTTCGGAAATGTATCATCCAAATCTTGCTATGTGAATATTGTACATATCTTAACCTGTCATAGCGAAAATCTAGTGCTCTGATCCAAATACGAAATGTCATACCTCATGGACGCCATCACGAATAAAAAATCTCGAACAAATCAAACTCTGAACTTTTGCGGAACAACTGAACCTAGGCTGTGATACCACTTGTTATATTAATTATGTCAAGAATCTCTGATACCAATTGTTGGGAATTCAAGGATCATATATCGCTCAATACCACTTGATATGAAACCAAACCCCGGATTGAGATGATGAAGTTATATGGTATAAATAATGAAGTATTTGATCACAAGCAAAAGAATAAAAGAAGACAAGAAAATATGTAGAGGAATTAGGAGATTTTATTACACCATAAATAATGAAGATTGAGAAATATTACAATGATCCTAAAAACTAGTAATCACTTTTCTCACACTATTATTACATCATAAAATTGTAGAGAAGAGCCAACTATATATGGGCAACTATGTAGGGCAACATCCAAATCCTGATAGATGAGTTGTAATTGAAGTAAAATGTCAAAAACGTGTTAAAACGCGAAAGGGTAAGGCTAGATAACACTGTCGTTCGTGCAATAAGCTAACGACTGGCGAGCGATGGTCCGTTGCTCAAGAGCCGAAGGATAATAGGCAAGCGACCAAGTTTCAGGAAAAAACTTGTAGGTGTTGCTCGAGCAACCAGCTAGCGAAATTGTAGCCACTTTTCTTCCCAATCCACGGCTTCCAAAAAGAATTTCAACTTGAATAAGATTCCAATAACATTCCAAAACTGAATTCCTCTTGACATGCACTTCAATTAGAATTATTTAATTATTTTTACAAGGAATTCGGGTCACACCCAAATTCTAACATTAACATTAATTGTTACCATTATCCTAAAATGCATTTTCTTCACTAGATTTAACATGATATTCTTCTGAAATAAACTATAATGACACATTCTATTTCATCAACAATATTTTAATATTCTTTTAAAATATTTATATACTTGGGTTTTTTTTTTTTTCCAAAACTTCAACACCCTATTCATCTAAATTATTAATACACTATTTAGCGTCTGTTTGCCGGCCATTTTTCGAAGTGAAATGAATTTACACAACAGTAAAAAATTATAAACAATTGGCTAGAGTCTGACAACAAGATTCCCAATTTCAAACATTTCATCCACATATTTCCACTTACACCCCTATACGTGGAAAACTTCACCTAACCATCATTCAACCCCACCACCAACCACATCACATCTCCAAACCAAGCATCTCTCTCCTCAACACGCACTGTGCATTTCACGTTCAGCCAGACCCGGACGGAGAAGGAGAAATAATACAACATAGATCTTCATTTAGCGAAGATCTGCTTCCCCAAAACGTTCACATATAAAAAATTTAAGAGCTGCGTCGTAAAGTTTTATCGATTCCGACGACGAAGACGTGTTGCCGGAAATACTCAATCTCCGGCAGTAGTACAGTGTCCCTTACCTTTTTTTTATCTATTTCCCTTGTATTATATATGTACTTACTGGTTTTCCCGCATTCTTTCCACCAGATTTATTCACTACGTATCCGACTGGTTGTGTACAGATCCTCCACCGACATCAAGCTACGAGTTGATTTCGTCGAAATGGACGGCTTCCCCGGGCATCACTATAACTATCCACATCACATGGTAACGACAACGTTTTTTCCTCAGTGTCTCTGTCCAATTATTGTTTCCACCTCTTTGATTTCATCTCTAATCATCTGCCCTTTTTCATGTTCCAGAGCTACACAACAGCCGCCCCATCTCAACTCCCACGAGAAGCCCATATCGATTCGCAACCGGAGGAGCCGATTCGTAGAATGGCCAAATGGGCAGTAAAGGAGCATCAAATTTTCATGGCTGCATGTGAATTGGCTATAGCAGAAGGTCATCGTCACGGCAAGTGCTTCACAAAGGCTGGCTGGGACCGTATTCTTTCCCTTTTCAACCAAAAGGCAAACAAGAATTGGACAATCTCCCAACTGAGAAATCACCTGCAGCAAATGCGTCTCGATCACAAGTTGTTGTTCGAACTACTGCGTTGCACAGGCGTGGAGTACGATCAAACTGCCGGTAATCGCATTGTGGCTGATGACGAGTGGTGGGATCGTAAAATCAAGGTTAAAAATATTCATTCCAGTTCTGTTGATACGAAACATATGTATCTGTTCACCCATTGTTTGTTAATAACAATTTTTGTTGTGCATAAACTGATTAGTAAAAAATGCACGCCAATAGGACTGCTACTGATTTCTCAGTTTCTACACTGTCTGAGAGGTTAATAACAATTTTCGTTTGTTAATACGAGCATTGCACACGTTTGATAGTATGGTTGCATGTCTTCGAGTTCATATGTATGTTGATTTGGTTTTGAGTCTATCATTGAATTGTTTTGATTATATTGGACCACTGAATGCATCATGGACTATATTGTGTCGTGCACTCGTTCGTCTGAAACACGTGGTCAGTGTTGTGTTTTTCCAATAGGTACATGAACAATTGTTTTGTCATTTGTGTTACGCAGGAGAACCCCAAGTATGAGAGGTTTCGAAATAAGGACGTGGGAGAAATTTATGATCGGTACAGTCGTCTGTTTGGTGACACCTTCGATTCTAGCAAGTATGCCTTCATCCCGACCAAGTTGTCACGACGTGGGTTCGACGTACATGAAGATGATGTGAGCAACCAAGTAGCTGATCGATTGCAAGTACCTCTTGAAAGCAGTTCGTCCAGTGATGAACCATAAATTGGAAATTCAACTGCACGTAAGTCACGATCGAGCAGGCGAAGTGGTAGCAAGCGTAAGTCCACATCGCCTTCGGAAAAGGGCAAAAAAAAATACGGAGCACGAGCTATCTCAACGTCAGTAGATCGAATGGCTGACTTGTTCGCAGAACTACAGTCGTTCACTCGGAGACATAGTTCAAACGATCTTTCGGTCGAGGACTGCATCGCGGAGATCAATGCTACTGGACTTGTCGATAGGACCAGCGATCTTTTCATGTTCGCCCTATCGTTCCTAGGCATTCGTGGAAATAGGGACATATAGAAGGCTGCAAAAGACGAGGGGACGAAAATGCGTTGGTTGAAGTGGTCCTATGACGACTACAAGGAACGTAAAGGCGGTGCATCACGTCGTCTTCCTTTTGATGGGTAGTCGATTATTTGACCGGTTGCGAATTTACATTTGCTTTGTTAGTCGTTCGTTTTGGTGTTATTTCGTTTGTGTGCAATTGTTGTGTTTTTTCAGTAGTTGTTGTTCTAACTGTTGCATCATGAGTTTTATGTCAGACTGTTCCAAAGATTTGTTGTTGGTTTTTATATATTGTTGGTACAACAAAACCTGTTCACGTACTATTTTTTGCATGTTTTGGCATTCACCCCTATGTCACACTTGTACTAGGGCATGGGAAATTTCAGTAGTTGATCCATCATTTCTATCACCTTTTCCTCTCACGAATCGTTTCGTGGAAAAAAATCTAACACGTGAATTGATTCCCTGCAATTGTCTTTTCATGGAGGGAACAACACTATGAATGGCCAATATATATACAAGTTTAGGACTTAGAACATTTCATTGAAATGAAGCTATCCGAACACCAAAAACACCTTTTGCAACCCCCTTCACAAAAAAACATATTCCTATCAGTAAAGTAATTGTTTCCTTAGTGCATTATCGAAAGCACCCATGTCACAATATCGTTTCCGACATTGCAACTTGGAACCAAACTCCGATGCGTCGGATACTTCGGATGACGAGGTTGTTGTGCAACAACTCGAAGAGGACATCGAAACGTAGCTTGGATATTGTCGCATTTCCGAAGCTGTGGTTCGTGATTATTTGCATCGATCAAACGAACCAAGATTTCAATTTCCTTATGTACGAAGCGGACATCTCTTCATGCTACAAAATCTGCATGCATATCCACAAACGTGTTTTCAAGAGTTTCGGATGTACCCACGTATGTTCACGTCTTTCACGCACATGCTCCGCGACGAGTATGGTCTCCAAAGTAGTGTTCATATCGATGTGTACGAACAGGTTGGAATGTTTCTGTGCGTCCTAGCACACGGGAAAGGATACAGACAGGTGCAAACACTTTTTGGCCATTCGTTGCAGACGATCTCCCACCATTTCAAAGTAGTGCTTCAAGCTGTTGTCACATTCGCTGGAAATGTTATCAAGCCCGACCCACAATACAATTACGGAGTCGGGCATCATCATCCGGACCCTGTTGACTACCCATTGTTCCAGGTGACGACTTTGAATCTATTACTCTTATGTGCTAATATGTGTCATTATTTTGTCGTCACAATGCTACATTCTTTTCAAATACGTGAAACATATTAACGTCTGACTGGTGATCAGGACTGTATTGGAGCCATTGATGGAACGCACGTGAGGGCCGTCTTACCGCGTCACGAGCGAGAGAATTTCAGAGGGCGTAAAGGATTTCCAACGCAGAACGTGCTTGCAGCATGCGATTTTAACCTATGCTTCACTTTCGTGCTTCCGGGGTATACAGGGAACACGCACGATAGTCGCATTTTGGCTAACGCGATACATAATCCGGATATTAATTTTCCCGTTCCTGCTCCTGGGAAGTACTATCTTGTTGACTCTGGATTTGCGCACCGACCGGGTTATATGGCACCGTACAAAGGATCGAATATTCGATATCATTTTCAGGAGTTCCGTACGGTGCCGACGGGTAGATGACGAAGATTTCGCAATGCACGAGAACGATTCAATTTTTATCACTCGTCGTGTAGGAATGTGATCGAGAGGTCATTTGGAGTATTGAAACAGCGATGGAAAATTCTTGACCGTATGCCGAGCTACGCGTTTCCTGTGCAAACAGCTGTTGTTGTTGCGACGATGGCGGTGCATAATTATCTGAGGCGTAACGGCAGTACTGACAAAGCATTTCGTAGAGCGGAGCAGGAAAGTGATGACGAAGTAGAAATAGACCTCCCATCGGAGCAGGACGAAGCGGCAGCAGAAGTTGATGCAATGGCGGAGGAAGATTTTCCATGGGAGCAATTGCGTGATTATATGGCGCACGAACTACGGTAGTGTGATAAATTGGGTAACTTATTCCATGTCGGATGTTTATGGTTTCAGTATTTGGAAATAAAAAAAAAGCCTTGTTTTCATGTTTTGGATTGTTTGATAAATGTTTACGGTTTCGAGAGCTACAAAAATTGTCGTATAATTCAAACATTACTTGACGTTGAAATGTATACGGTTCCACCAAGGAGAATCAAAATTTTGGAAATGCAAAGATAGAATACAAAAGTCGACGTCAGATAAGTTAAAGGAAATTGTAGTAAAAAATGCAAAGAGTATGTTGAAGAAATTTTACAAGTAGCCGTTGACTGGTTGAGTAATATAACCCATATTCAGGGGTTAGGTGAAGTGAGGAATGAGGATAATAATGACAATGGGAAAGGAGGTACAGTTAGACTCTGAAAAGGCAGAATTAGGGTGTCAGACTTTGCATGAATTTTATAAATAATTGGTTTACCGTGAGGGGCGAAAATGGAAATATGTGGATGAAATGTTTGAAATTGGGAATCTTGTTGTCAGACTCTAGCCAATTGTTTATAATTTTTTACTGTTGTGTAAATTTATTTCACTTCGAAAAATGGCTGGCAAACAGATGCTATATATACACTTCACATGAGAGCTGAGAAAAAGAAATTTAGTTACAAAAATAATCATTTCAGAGAAAATATTCTCTCCTATAACATAATCCATGTGCAATGTAAATCAGATCATTGATCATGCAATCTTCTAGGCTTTTCTATTGTACAATCACCAATGGGTGCTGATGTAGCTTGGATTGATGAGTCAAATGCCAGATCATTTCTCCATTGCTCAACTTGTGATGCTCGTCTTTCAACAATCGCCCGCAAGGTGGAGAGTAGATATCTGTTACTCCCATCTTGTCCATGTGAAAATAGAAACTTGAAGATTTCAAAGCTTTAGTTAGAATGTCTGCAACTTCAGAACTAGTATGCACATATTCAGTAACAATGCTTCCAGCTTGTATCTTATCCCGAATGAGATGACAATCAATCTCTATATGGTTAGTTATCTCGTGAAACATAGGACTTGCCATTGCTCTATACTCGGCTTCAGAGGAAGATCGTGATACTACATTTTGCTTCTTTTATTTCCAGGATATTAGAGATGATCCAATGAATACACAATAGCCAGTTACAGACCTTTTGGTGTCTGGACAGCTTTCCCAATCCAAATCTGAGTACCCTTTTAGCTGCAGTTCAGAAGTAGATGAGTAGAATAAACCCTGCCTTGGAGCTCTCTTAAGGTACCTCTGTACTTTATGTGCTGCATTGAGATGAGGTATCCTGATCCATATATTTACTTAAGAGCTAAATTGAGTAGGATATATCTGGCCTGGTTATGGTCAAATACAATAATGTCCAATCAGCCTTTTGTAGATAGATGGATCAGCATGTAGTTCTCCTTTCCCTTTAGATAATTTGATGTTTTGATCAAGGGGTACCTTGGCTAGTGTTGATCATATGGTTCATGAATCAGCTAAAATGTCCAGGGTATACGTTCTTTGGCAAATATGTATTCCTTATTTTGATCTAGCCACCTCAATGCCTAGAAAATACTTTAACTTACCCAAATCTTTGATTTTGAACTGGGCATCAAGTGCTACCTTGAGATTGTTGATAGTTTCCAAACAATTTTCAGCCATAATTATATCATCAACATAGATCGAAACAGACATGAAGGAGTTTTGAGTAGACTTAACAAACAAGCTATAGTCTGCCTTAGATTGAGTAAAACCATGCTGAAGAATAAAATTAGACAACTTTGAATACCATTGTCGTGAAGCTTGCTTGAGTCCATATAAGCTCTTGTGAAGCTTACATATTTTTGAACCACTAGCATTATTATAACCTGGAGGCAGCTCTATATATACTTCCTCATCCAAATCTTCATGTAAGAAAGTATTGTTTACATCTAATTGATATAGGAACCAACCCTTTATGGCTGCAATGGCGAGTAAGGTTCAAACAGTAACAAGTTTTGTCACCGGTGAGAAGGTTTCATGGTAATCCAAACCTTTTTGTTGAGTGTATCCATTTGCTACCAGCCTAGCTTTGTATCTTTCTACACTTCCATCAGCATTAAACTTGATTTTGTAAACCCATTTACACTCTATTGCATTCTTATCAAGTGGCAGATCGACTATGACCCATGTATCATTCAACTCAAGAGCCATAATCTCATTTTTCATGGCCTCACACCATTCAGGGGATTTCACAGCTTCTTGGTAAGTTCTAGGTTCATTTTTTGTAGTGATTAAAAAGACAAAGGCTTTATGAAAAATGGATAACTTATCACATGACATACTAAAGTTGATGGGATAGGGATTACATGAGGAAACAGAGCCCTCTTTCTTGTCCAATGCCTGCAATGGGGGAAGTGAAGTAGCCTGCTGACATATAAAATCCTGCAGGCGTGGTGGAGCTCTCCTAATTTTGGTAGATCTTCTAGGTAAGTGAGGTATGGTTTGGTTGTTTTCTCTATCAGATAAACATTGGTTTGGCTGTTGTCTAGTTTGATTAAATTGAGGGTCAGTTGTGCAGATTTGTTGTGTATTTTCTGTGGGATTGGGAGCATTTGTAGATTGATTTTCTTGTTCTTTGAAAATGTTAGTTGGAATAGAGATGACTGGATTTTGAGAAAAGCACAAATCAGTAGGATTTGGTGGGACATGTATGTTAGTGACTTTAGTTTCTTTGCATGGAAAGATTGTTTCATGAAAAACAACATTTCTTGATATGAAAACTTTATTTGTTTCCAAATCAAGGAGTTTGCAACCCTTATTAGCACAAGGATAGCCTAGAAAAATGTATCTCCTAGCTCTAGAATCAAATTTGTGTTTGCCATTTGTGGAAGTTGTGGCAAAAGCAAGGCATCCGAACACCTTGAGATGAGAATATGTAGGTTTGGTCTA